TCTTACATCCTGTAGAACTGAGACTGTATAAGCCAAGGATGATTAAACTCACCTTCAAGGTATCAGTGAAATGCTAAACTTACATCCAAGCACAGAGCTTGTGGAATTTTATCAAACACCATGATCTCCAAAATGTTTAGCCCCCAAGTTTTGGATGTGTCTTCTGCAGCATCTCACTTAGTTATCAGACCTGAGATTATGCTTATAGTTTGCTTGACATTTGTGAAATGAATGAGATTTATCAAGTTCTCTTTCTTTCATTCACAGTAGAGAAGATACCACCAAAAACTGGGGTAGAGGTGGGTCTGGGGTAGACAAGGCCTGAGCTGACTTCCTATGACCAGGATCTGCCTATCCTAGAGCACAAGTGTGATGGTGACCCCAGCTTCCCTTTGTTGCACAGGGTCTTGTCGGAAGGAAGGAGTAGAACAGGTATTATGGAAATGGCAAAACTTGGTGTTGGAAAAGTTGCACCAGAAAGACTTCCTCTCATCCATCTGATCAGAGTCAATCAGAATCATTCTGGGACTAAATAAAACATCTGAGGTCAACAGCTAATGGGAGATACGAATGAGCTGGCTTTGGGATTCAGCCTTGTGAAATCTGTACTTGGAAAGTCAATTTTATAAAATACTCTTCCTTCGTGACAGCCTCAGGAAAATAAATCTTCCCGGGGCTGCCAGAAGGGGATGAAATCGTCTCCATTGTGGCTTCTGTATCTGTGGCCCGACCCTGGTGATAAACACATGCAGGCCACCAGGAATAGGCTTATGGCTCTGCAGCCTTGCCTGCCAGACTTCTCATCTGGACATGAGAGCTTAATTATTCCGCTGCTCTCTGGAAACGATACTGGATTGTCCTTGAAATCCCTGAGCAGGCGCCAAGCCCTGCTGGGTTTGTAAATACCTCCTGTTGTGGATGCAGGAGCTTTGGCCCAGTCTGACAGCTTGTTTCCTACAGTGCAGCAAGATGCCCCATAGAGACCAGTCTAGCTTGCGCTTCTCCAGCTGGTCTTGGCTTCTCAGACAATGGCTGACTGTTGACACCCATTTTGGGGACTGGCCAACTCTGAATTCCTTCCAGGACTCCCCCAACCTTCTTGTCCCTAAGGACAGCACCTGTAAAATAATTGCCACCATATATTCAAATGGTTTTGCTTTTTCCTTGAATGGAGAACATTGCCAGATTATCACTAAATGAACCTGAATATGGAGCTGCCACTTGGATGGAAAACCACTTCTGTTTCTTTTCTTGAACATATGACAAACATTAATGGCTTAAGACTATTGTTTATCAATACTTGAATCATCTGTTTTCTTTGTAATGAACTTTTTCTTCTGGAATTATTTTTGATTTACAGAAAATTTGTGAAGATAGTAAGAGTTCACTCTGTTTCCTCCAGTGTTAACCCTTCAGCAGGTGTAGACTCTCCACCCAGTTCCCCCTACTATTAGCATCTTACATAATCATGGTACATTTGTCAGAACTGAGACACCATCACAGCACATTCTATTAAGTACACTCCAGACTTTAATTAGATTTCACTAATGTCCTTTATGTGTTCTAGGAGCCAATCCAGGATGCCACAGAGCATTTAGTAATATCTCTGTTTAATATCAGAATATCTTAGCTCGGTGTATTAAAAAAGCAAGAAAGAATGGATAGCATTGATTATGGGGTTCTCTTACAGGGAATACGTTTTTCTTCTTTAATAATAACTAATGCTTGAATGTTGTCAATCACCCTGGGCTGTGAACAGCAGATGGTATTGACTCATTACTGATATCATAGATTTTCTGCAGAACTAATTGTCCAGCTTGGGTTGGAAATCCAGGACTTCTATTTATTAGTTTTATGACATCAAAAACTAAAACTCATCTCAACCTTGGCAGCACACACTGGATGCTACTGCTTGGCAGGCTGAGATTCCATGGGAGTTCTGGGTTCAATTCCCAACCCACCCTAAGACGCTGGGCATGAAGGTATATGCTTGTAGTCCCAGCTACTCAGGAAATAGAGGTAGGAGAATCACAACAAGCAAGCAAGACTGTCTGAAACACCACACACACAATACACAAACATACAAATAACAAAAAACTCAAACTCTTAATCTTTATGTTCCTCATATTCTCTGTAAGTTATGTATAGGTATATATTCTTTATTTGTATGTATGTATATATACTGACATATATACATACACATATATAATATATACAAACATATATACACACACACATTATACACACACACCCACATATGTATGTATATAATATTTGTGCTTTTCTTTCTATATCTATCTACCTGCCTGTCAAACAAAGCTCACCTTTCTTACCACTTTTCACCACAAAATGATATGTGGAAGAGTGTACAAAACTTTACAACTCTTTTCAAAAGTTAATCCTTATAACGAAAAGTTCACCTTAAACTAGTGACATTAGACATTGTTTTAAGCTATTTTCAAGCTGATTGGGACAACTGTCTCTGTTCTCAGAACGTGTGATGCTTTTGGTGAATATTGAAACTCCATTAGTACCCCTAGTTCCCCTGAGATAGTTTTTTCCAAAGAAAGGAGCAGCAGATTTAAAAGAAAGAATGTAGGAGAGGTGTTTACTCCAACCCAATATATTGTAGTGTCATAGTTTAGATCCCCTTAGCAGAGGCAGAAAATATATAGTAAAGGACCAACGGAAGGGTATAATTTTTTTCTTTGTTCTTCCTGAGACCCACAGAGATAATGATATGATTGGGAAATTGGACCCAAGAGGCCAGTTTAAAGGAACTGGGACTGGTTAAATTCAAAGTTGTGAGAGTGAGGAGTAGAATGAGGGGCTGAGGCAGCTCTTCTGCATTGCCTGTGAGGAGAGGCAGAGCCACACAAGCTTAGCCAAGGGGGTTTACGTTAGACTTGACAATGAGAGGGATCAGCATTTGAATGGGATGCTCTGGTGTCTGCCGTCACTTTAAAGTTGGGCTGTGCAAACCCATGCTAATCATTTTATTTCTTCCACGGTTAACGCAAACTGCCCCCTGGGAGAATATCAGTTCCTTCGTGATAGCTTTGTGTTTCCAGAAGCCTGGCTTCCCATAAAGGTAGTTAATTGGGAGAGGTGGAATCGTACCCTCTTGCTTCCAATTAAAAACAAGGCTTCATTACAACAAATAAGACTAGTACTATCAGATACTATTAACTTTGTATTTAAATAAGGTGTATAATTTTAATGGCTAAAGAAATGTGAAAATTAGGGCTAATTGGGTACCTTCCTACCCATTTAAAATTTTTAATAACTGTCAATTGAATTCTGTTCTGTTTCTCCTTCAAGGTTAAATAGAATGAGCACATCCCCAATCTTTAGGTCCAGTGTGTGTGTGTGTGTGTGTGTGTGTGTGTGTGTGTGTGTGTGTGTGTACATACATGAACATGGTTCAGACATTTGGGGATCTTAGGACAGTTAAACCATCAAAGCCCAGGAAGTGAATTTTAAAGAGGCTAAGACCCTACATTTCTATCACAAGTGCCTTAATCCTTTCCTGTCCTCCACCCCTGCCTTTCTCCTGACTTGCCAGCCTTAAACTGACAGTTAAAAGACCCTTTCTCCAGATCCTGCAGGAGCATGCACCAGCCAGCTGTGCGAACCCGGAACCCCGGACTCTTTCTCCACCCCCAAATCAGAAGGGAGTCATTTATCTTTCTCTGGAACTGACCAGTGCTCTGACTTTATCTCTTGCTGGCGATCCCCCTCCTGACCTCTACCATCTGGTGTTTGCTAGTAATTTGCATTCTACCCTTAAGTTTTTGCTCATTAAACACCCTCCTTGGCAGCTCTGTAGCTCCCCTGCAACTTTTACAGCTTGGCTCTGGGTACAGGCTGCTTCCAACAGAGCCTGAAGGTACAAAATCTCAGTTAGATCAGAATGTTAAAAAAAAAAAAAATTGGAAAAGAAGGTCATAAGATTTTCATGCAGATTTAAAGTGACTTGTCCCCACTCTTAGGGGGTACATGTATGGCCATATTCTTTGAAGTTTCATTTTTTTTTCTTTCTTTTCATAATCACATTTGTTAAGGTGCTTTAAAAAATACACAAAGAAGTATAAAGAAAACAAAAAGGTAACCAATGATTTCATTGCTATGATAATCCCTACTGATGGATTTTTCTAATGGAAAATGTTACAAAATTCAAACAGTGCAGAATGATTAAAAGTGAAATCTGAAAGGCTTTATACATAACACACACACATTCATATAGAAGGATAATGGAACACAAGAGGTTATGTTAGCTAGTTTTTCAGTGAATGTTCCTTGGAGATAGTTCAATAGCACACAACGTTTCCTCCACTTTTTGAATGGTCTACAAAGTAATCCATCTTATAGACATCCAATAATTTATTTAACCAGTCCCCTGTTGAGGCATGCTTTGCTTGTTTCTAATTTTTTGCTGCCGTGAGTCTGTGGTGGACATCTTTGTACTTATGTCCTGGGAAGAACCTGCATGTGGATATCAGTTGGATAAATTCATGTAAGTAGTAGTAGGGATTACTGGATAAGTGCACACATATATTTTAAATTTGATAAGCAATGTCGTATTTCCCCTAAGAAAAGTTGCACAAATTTATAACCCCAGTAAGAGTGCGGAAGAGTCATTTGCCACATATACTTAAAAAATGTTTAAAGTTGATTTGCTTATTCCATGAGAGAAAGGGGCAGACAGAAAGAAAAAGAGAGAGACATCCCAAACAGGGTGAAGACTCCTGCTCCGCAATCTCAGCTGGTCTAGGTCATGAGCGCACACCTGCCCAGGGAGATCCAGGAAGTGAACCCAGGACCTTTCCCATGCAGGTCTAGTTGCATTAGCAACTGTGTCACTACCTAGTCTTTTTTTTTTCTTTTCACATTTTTGATCCATTTGTAAGTTAGTTTACTCTGTTTTATCTGTGTAGATCTGAAATGCTGCCCGCATTGCATCTTATGACGGTGACTATCAAATACACATTTCCATGGGTGAGCTCCATCTTCACGCAGCAGCTACCTGCCATGACGTCTGACAGATATCTCAAGTGACAGGTAGATATGACACCAGAGTCTCGGATTTACTGTCCTCATTGCCAAATCTGCTCCTGTTCATTTTCTCTTTTCCAGTAAATGGCTCTATCATGTACCCGGTTACTCAGACTAAAGTGCTGGGAGTTCGCCTGGATCCCTTCTCCTCTTTCACTTCCAATCCATCCACAAATGGCACCATGTCAAAATTGTATCCCAAATCAGACCACTTGCTACCATTTTCATCACTTCCACCTCACTGACTCTGGTATCCCCTCTGGGGTACACCATTGCAGGGAAAATTGGAATTGTGTTTCTATTCTTATCTTCATAGAACCCTCTCTCCACATAGTAGCTAGAGTGATTTTTTTAAAAAAATGTTTAAGAGATATATCACTCTGCAGACTAACATCCTTTAATAATGACTTTCCTTCTCAATTAGAATTAAGTCCAGAGTCCTCGCCAATCTTTGCAAGCTTTATGTAATCCAGACTCTATCTACTTTCTGCCCTTTCTCTCTCATCCATGACCTTCTTTCTTGAATGTATGAAGCTCATTTCAACCTTAAGGTGCTGGCTCTTGCTTTTTTCTTTGCCCTGAATGCTTGTGTCCTTGGTCATCTTTGAGCTGACTGATTTATTAGGTCTCCATTCAAATGTTACCCTCATCACTGTTTATCTCTTTGTTTTGCATTATTTTCTCTAGAATCCTTGACATTGTGTGGATTTTCTTATTTATTTACTTGAATTTTTGTCCATTTTATTTGCTGTGATTAGTCAACATATTGAATAATGCCTGGCACATGGTAGGCCCTTGAGCCTAGTCTGGAATTCTACTTTGCACTACTGTTTTCCATTGGGAAATTCTTCTCATTACTATAGCTTCATATGTCTTAATGCTTGTAAGACCAGGTTTTCTCTGCCTTACTCCCCACCACCTCCTTCCCTTTTATAATTTTTCCCGGCAGTTATATGGTAATTTTTCCAGAACTTTCTAAAAACAGTCATTGTTGGTATTTTAATTTGAGTTTACATTGAATTTATAAAGTAATTATTTCAAGTTTATTTATTTATTCCAGGAGTGAGAGAAACAGAGAGACGGCACCCCCACCCCCACCCCCACAGAGTCTTGATGCATTATCCAGCCCAGCCTCAGACAGCCTAGGTCACAGGCACATGAATGCCTGGTGTACACAAGAAAGTCTCCAGACTTAAACCAGGAACCTTTCCATGTGGGCCAGCCCCACCTACAGAGCTTCATGTTTTACTGTGCCGCTCTCCAGCCCTGTGAATTTATAGATTAATTTGAAGGGGAAAAAAAAGTCACTGAACTTTTTTTTTTTAATCTAAAAGCAAGCTGAACTTTTCTCTTAACTTCAACTATTTTTCCAGTTTCTTAACAGATCTAAAAAAAAAATCTTTTCAATAATGGAGAATTGAGAATATACATCAAAATAGTGAGAAGAGTAAAATGAAATTTCCTGTATCCATCAAACAGCCTTTGTACCATCAACTTATGGCCATGCCGGCCCCATTCATATCCTTACCCACTCCCCACTGAATTACTTTCAAATAAATCCCAGACATATTCATCTTGAAATGTTTTACTATGTATTTAAAAATATAAATTTATAATCTTTTAAAAATAGTCATAATATTATTATTATATCAAAACTTAATCATATTTCTTCATCATTGGTTTTGAAGTGATCTTCTAATAGGTCAGGCATGTTTTTAATTGAATATCATATATATATTACCTACTTGCATATATAAGTAATCAGTATTTCTTACTGAATATCAATATATCAAAGTTTTGAAATATCAACATAGCAAAGTTTTTAAAATCTTTTCTAGTTTCTATTGAAAATAAGGATATTATCTTTCATTACTTTTTCAAGTTGTTATTTTTGTAAATATTACAACTAAACAATATTCATACATTAATCTTATAATCTGCTCTTGTATTGAATTTTCTTACCGTTTCTAGATTTTTTAGTCTTTTCATGCCTGTAGCTACAGAGTTCTGGGATGTTTGGTGAGGGCCTAAACACCCAGAATCATTGCATACCTGTCTCATGCATACAGGGTTGTGGAGCTGGTGCAGTGGGAAGGGGAGCCAAATAGGCTATTAGCTACCAGAGAGTGTTTTAATCATTTAAGATAAAACATAAAAATAGGTGAAATGATACCAATACAAAAGAAGTTCTTCAGCAAGTCCAGACTAAGTCCTCAACTTTTCAGAAAGGATTCAGAGTACAAGAGTGTTCACAACAAGGTCAACTAGTCATAAAGTTTTCCGGTAAGGGATGGACCAAGTCTGGCAGAGAAACACAGGAGCATGTATTAGTCTCTTCAGGCTGCTATAACAAAACAACTCAGTCAGGGACTTTGGCACTTTGACACTAGGGATCACCTTTCCTCTAGTGTCTAATAACATAATCCTCATTTCTGTCTGAGAGATTTATTTTTAATTTTATACACATATATACATAATGAGGAATTTTTGATAGGGTCTCACCATGCTGCCATACTCCTCCTCCAGTTGGCCTGTTTAGGTTGGCCTCTTTCAGATGGCTCTGCCTCTCATGTAGTCTCATGAATAGTTCCCTAGTGCTTGTACCACTGTGACTGGGCCTCAAATGACCTTTAATGTCCATTATTCTGTCCATGGCAATGTAAGCTTTTCTAGTATGCACCTTGATATTCTTCCAGCCTCTGCCCATTACCCATTTTCAGAAACAGTTTCATACTTTTAGGTATTTGTTACAGCAGTACCACACTTCTTGGTACTAAAATTTATTAGCTAGGTCCGGCAGCCATGACACAATTTCACAGATTAGGAGGGTTAAACTACAGAAATGTATTTTCTCACAGTTCTGGAGGCTGGAGGTGTAAGAGCAGGGTGCCGGCATGGTTGAGTTCTACTGAGGGCTGTCTTCCTGGCTTGCTACCTTCTCAGTGTGTCCTCACATGGCAAAGAGATCTCTGTTGTCTCTTATCCTTCTCGTAAGGGTACTGGGTCTGTTGGATCACAGCTCTACACTTATGACCTCATTTAATCTGTGTCACCTCTTTAGTGACTCTGTCTCAATTCAGTCACATGGGAAGTTAGGCCATCAACTTGTAATTGGTGGGGGGGAGTTGGGTTGGAGAGAACAACACAATTCAATATGTAGTTATCTTCGACCTTGGAACTATTGGGTTGTTGGAAAAGTCATGATATATTTTTTCTAGGCAAAATGTGTCATGACTTTTCTGATGACCCAATACAAATCCACAATTCCTTACTAGACATCCTCAGGGTCAGATGTGTTTTGAAACTTGGATCTTTAGAAAAAACATGTGGTACATACATTGTGTTATGTTATACTTCCAGTGGAATCCAGAGTAGCACCTTATATGTGTTTTGAAACTTGGATCTTTAGAAAAAAACATGTGGTACATACATTGTGTTACGTTATACTTCCAGTGGAATCCAGAGTAGCATCTTACAATCCAATGAATTAATATTTTGGCAGCCAAGGGCCATCTCCATGGCACAGTGGTAATGCACAGCTCAAGAGACACAGGATTCCACATGGTGTCTGAAGTTTGAGTCCCTGGCCCGCTTAGCCTGAAACATGCTGGGCCTGTGTGCAAGTGTCCAGATTTTGATGGGTTGCAGGACTGGAAGAAGAGAATATCAGCATGACTGGAGCCTCTTGAGAGTGATCATTTCTCCCTCTTCTCTCTCTCTCTCTCATGCACATGTATGCACTTTATCATGAATAAAAAATGAAATTGTTTTGAAATGCCAGTGGCCAGATATAGGACTATAACAAGAATAGGATGAATAAAAATTATAAATGGCCTCAAAACAGGTTGGCCTCATTTCCTTATGCAAAGTTTTGCTGCCAAGTGCCTTACAAAACAAACTTAGTTGTCAGACCTTTCTGAATTTGGGAGTTACAGGATTGTGTACTGGTGTAAGCAAAGGCCTTAGTGAGGCTAAACGCACGTGCCCTGAGGAGGCAATAGGGAATTAAGTAGGGTTGGCCTCCTTTTCTTTGGACTGGCTCCCGCTGGATTAGATGACCTCCAAGGTCCCCAGGTTCTAAGGGACTCGAGTTGCACATAGAACACCCCAGCACCTCAGACTTGGCAACAACCATACTCCCCACTGTCCTTTCCTCCACCTTGTGGCAAACCCACTGTTTGGGTTCTGAGCCTCTTACTCATTTTTCCTACCAGGGGGTTCAGGTTAGGTTGTGGGTGTAGCAGTGCAGGACACACACACATACACACACACACACACACACAGCCCTCAGGTGCTGTGAGAGTTGCCCAGCAGGCTTTCTTTTCACTCCAGAAAGCTGAGGAGAACCACTCTGGAGGTGTTGATTACACCCCAGGGTCCCCTCCTTTTCTTTCTTCTTGGTGAAGGTTGAATGAATATGCTACAGTATTAACTTTATATTTGCTCTGCTTGAGAGAATTAGATTTTTTTCAAACAGGGAGTAGTTAGCCAGGTCACAACAGGGCAAAACTACTCTTTCAGCAGTTTTTGTTGGTTTACAGGCCTCCTGGGATAATTAGCATTTTTGGTTACCCAAGCAGCAGTACTGAAAGCATTAAGGATGTTGCTGTGTTTACGGGGACTGGAAGCTGAATGCTTCTGTGGGATTCAGGATGAACTTTCCCAGAGCTTATTTCCAGAAGTCATACCCAACTTCAAGTTATATTGCTGTACAAGTGAACAGTGAGTCCAACCAGCCAACACATAAGCATCTATGTGTTACATAAATAAGACAAGTTAAAAATATTGGTGTTGGGGCTGATGATGGAGCGGTGGTAAAGTGCAGTGCTTTGTGATGCTGGTTCACATAGGAAGGTTCTGGGTTCATGTCCGGATACATCCCTGAGTATGCCGGATATGTGCCTGCCTATCATCCAGGGGTGGCTAAAGCTGAGGAAGGAATGTGCTGCCTACACTTTGTTAGGCCTATCTCTTTATCTCTTCCTCTCTCTATCTGTTTCTCCCAC